TCTGACATTTCTATTACTGTTGATTCTCAAGAGAACTATTGATTCCCTATTTATACAGGTTTTTGTTTCATTTTAATAGGATAAAAACTTGTACTTATCCCTAATAATCATGATACCTAACTCTAGACTCTTCACCACTTGTTTCTTAGACCTCCACCTCCTGCTTCCATAAACTCCACAAGTTCTCCTGGAACTAACACTCAAGTGACACAAGCCACCAAGCCACAGAAATTGAACACCTCCTGCTTGCTAGCAGTAAGAGGAGGATTTACCTGACTACCCACACAGTAACTAGATTGAGATGAAAATCCTAGCAAATGAAAATAGCACACCTCCTTATTTCAAATTCCTACATGGTGGTAAGAGAGAAAGAAACATGTAAAACACAAGCTCAATGTACAGTCATAAAAACAAACTTACCTCATGAATTACTTGTTGGCTACTCCAATTTGACTCTAGATAAGTATGGAATTGAAGACTCGAAGACAAAAACTTATTTCTTGCTTATGAAATTCGAAGAGAGGAAAAGCTAGGGTTTCTTTTTCCACCTTTTTAGACTAAAGGAGATAAGAAGATTGCGAACTCCTTAAAGAAGTTGTCATCCAGAAGAAGGAAAAAAATATAAATCAATAACAAAATATTGTATTTGTCCTTTATATATATATATATATATAATGAATCTAAAAATATGAACCAATTTACATATTAGTCTAATTATATAAATTAGAGAGTTAAATCAAACACTTGCACTACTAACTAATTAAAAAAAAATTCGGGTTCTCACACCGTGCCAGACCAAGCCATCCCGTGTTGGGCTTGTCTGCGCGCTCGACCCATCTTCCATCAGCTTGCAGCTGAATGGGTTAGCTTCTGTTTGGGCTTGCTACCCGCGTAGTGGACCAAGCCTTATTGACTGGGTTCTTCGGTGCTGGGCTTCATGCCCCTGACCTCTGATCCAAAATGCCAGCGCATGCTGGGCCCCGTCATTTCCCCTCGGCCCGCTTTGCTGATTGCAGCATGCTGGGCACCCTTTTTCTTTTTCCTAGCCCGTGACTGCAGCAAGCCTACAAAGCTTGTTTTGCCGGTTGTTGGGCTGCCTGTAGCAGTCTTACAAGGCCCATCTTCCTACTGCAAGCCTGTAGCTTGTACACACTGATTGGGCTACCCTGTGTGGCCTGCCCGAGCTAAATTGTCTCATGTTTGCTTCTAGCTGCACCCAAGCATGGGGTGCCCACGGCTAAGCTCAAAGTGGGGCTATATTTTTCGACCACATGCTATTATTTTAGCATTCTAAAAAATTTTAACCCATATGTTAATATTATTTTTACTTCTACAATCGACCCCGTGTGGATCGATTTATTGAATTAATTAAAAGTGACATGCAGTCCATTAATTTGATAATGAATCCAAAATTATTGACCTGAAGATCACTTTTGGACATTAACGATTCAATAATTTATTTTTATACTTTGAACCGTTGACATACTTTCATAGTAACAAAGCTCTCACACTTAAGTTCCCGAAGAACCTCAAATCCACTACATTTAAATTAGCATATTGCATTATGTGTTCTTGCAGGAACCTCCCCTTTATGAACTAAACGTTCATAAACTAAATTGAACCTGTAGTTTCAAATTTAGTGCCTTTGAAACCCGAAGATTTCATAAAACAATACACCCATGAAAACCAGACGTTTTTCATGAAAGCCATGTCTTAGAACTCAAATGTTCTAACTTGGATACTTATGGATGATTCATTCCCATAACACTAATCACAATATTGTCCCCTCCAATTCAGTGGATTGTCAAACCGTCATAAGTTCGATTTCCCATATTTGGACGTTTCTAACTTTATGTGAGGTACAAGACGTGAATCTCTACTTGACTATCAAGAATTTGAGACACCATTGAAGCCAACAATGGCAATGCAGAGCTGAATAAGCCTTCGTCATGATCTTCATTTGAAGACTTATGCCCAAAGCATTACAAACGGAAGTACCTCCTAAACAAGGATTCCATGACTCTTTGGCTTGCTCATACGGATTGTCTAATCATGAAAGACATTGCCTGAAACACACCCTGATTATGTCCATGAATGAGTACAATTCTGAAGTTTATAAATCCGATCGAATTTTGACTAGAGAATATTTTTCTTGTCCTTCCATGTTTCTAACTCGCCCCTGAAGTAATAGTGTAGAAAGCAGAAGTTTACCAAATTCTCATATCTGATTACTACCACAAACATATGGTAGAATCAGGGTCTGCCAAGGTGTGGCATCATGCACAACATCCACAAAACGCTTGATCCTCCAAAAATCCAAGACCTAACTTTGTCTCTTAGATCTAGTAGTGAACGATTAGGTATTCCCATAGAATGGCAACAACCCAACAAAGAACAAGGAAGCCGCAGCTCTTCCTCCTCCTCATCCTCCTCAAAGCTAAATTCTTTTTCTTCTTCTAAATTTCAATATAATCAACAAATAAAAATAAAATCCCCCACAATAAAAATGGTGGGTGAATTGAAATAAAAGGTATTTATTTTCTTTCTTTTTATATGATTTTGGTTTCCCTTTTCTCTTGTTTTCTCTTTTTGCAAAAATTTGGAACGAAAACAGAAGGCAAATCATCCTCCTCCTCTTCTTCCTCCAAAAATCACACAAAACAATATCACAGGAGGAAATCAAACGGCTCATGATGCACAAAATCTGACAATATTTATAGCCAAATTAATATCACCAACGAAAGTGCTTAAAAATTAAGCAGTAGCAGCAGCAACAACAACTCAAAAAAACTTAAACAGTAAAGAAACCCTAACTGATTCCAGAGTCTTCAAGAATGCATCCAGCGATCGATTGGAGCATATCCCGACGAATCAATCGGAGCAACTGCAAGTCCACATGTCCAAGTAGATTGAAAAACCATGAGAAATCCAAAAGATATGGAAGCCAACAGCAGCATAGAATGAGATGAAGAGGACAATACGACGGCGTATAAGTAAAGCAAAAACAGATGAAGAAGAACCAAAGAGAGATTGAAGAAATTAAATGCTGGGAAGAATGAGGATCAAAAGGAGGAAAATGAGGAGTACGGAGAAGGTTCCCTTTCTCCAGGAATCGACTCGCATCTCAAGAAATGCATTTGCCTGTCTCTCACTTCTTCTTCTTCCTCTGCTTCTTCGATCGCCACCTACAACTGCATCAACACTTGTTCTTCTCTTTTGTATCATCTTTTTTTTGCGGCTTTCAATTCATGTTAAAGTACAATTTTACCCATGTATTAACAGCTAGTTAATGGAAAAATCACTTTTGGACTAAATTTCCTAACAGAGTACACCATAGGGGTTTAAATCCAAGTTTTTTTAGCACATGAGCTATCTTCCAAATACCTTATAACCACATGGATCATTTATCCAATTTGGCCTTATTTTTATTAACCTCTTATCATAAGCTTATTGTCTCTTTTTTATTGTTTAATTTTACTTATTTTAGATATTATTTTTTGATAAAATATAATGACCATCACTAACCACACTAGGTAAGTTTTTTTTTTTTTTTTTTAAATTGTAATGGGAGAAAATTAATTTGAATAGTATGAAAGCTTTACGTTTTTTTATTTTCGACCTTTATATATAAATAATATTGGGAACTTTCATGAAAAGGGTTTGGACTAAGTTTATTTTAATAAAAAAACCATGTCATAACTTTATTTAATTAAAAAGACTTAAATTTTAATGAAAAACCCTTAAATTTTAATAAAAATGACAAAAGAACTTAAATTTTAATGAAAATGACATAATTTTAATATTAAAAAAAATTTAAAAAAAATCTAACGTGCGGACTCATGGGTCCTCACACTGTTTATGAAACTTACAGCACTGTTTATAAAAACTTACGACACTGTTTATAAAACTTACTACATTGTTTATGAAACTTAATAATACTACACCACTGTGTTGTGTTTGTAACCCAACCCACTCTCTTTTCTTCCCCTTTTCTTTCTTCTTTTCCTTTTCCCATGTGAACACTCCATAACTCTCTTTTCGAACTCTCTGCCTTCTCTCTAAACCACCATAGCCAAAAAGAACTCCAAGCACCATCACCACAAATTCCAATTTAATTGAGACCCCAAACCACCAAATACAAGACCTGTGCAAGCTGGGGATCCCTATGGTACCATTGCATTTTAAATTCTGTAATGGGAAGTAGGATTATCCAAGCAGGGGTTCTCGGTGAGAGTTGCTTTAATGGAATCGAGCTACAACCTTTGAAAAGAGAAGGTAAAATTAGCTTGATTTTGTTGTAATATGTTGCTAGTAATGTCTTCTAGCATCTTGGATCAAATCTGGGTCTGATGGAGTTTTGGGTGGGTAGGTAGGGGACGCTGCACAAAGGATATTGAGAAGAAGAAGAAAACAGAAGTCGATATTAGTCATGGTGACAATTGAAACGGACACAAAAATCACAAACCGATCGATTTTTCTTGGTCCAGTCGGGGAAGCAACGAATGACAGCTGCTTCTTTAGTAACATCACTGATCGCGATTTTTATTTTTTATGTTTTTTTTATCCTTATCATTAAATAAAGTATTTAAAGTCATTTTCATTTATTAAAATGCAAATATTTAAAGTCATTTTCATTAGTTTTCCTAATAATATTAGGTAAACAATATTAATCGTGCTAAATTATGTACACATCGAAAGTGCAACATCCCATGTTCGAAATTAAATTGCCACCCTCTTACAAACATAGCAAGTTAGCAATCAATACACAAATCATAAAACTTTCCCACAAAAATAAAAAAATTAAAAAAAAAAAAAAAAAAAAAGCTATGGAGATTCTCTTAAAGGTAAAACTCTCTGTAACATATTTTTGGAATTCTTTGTGAACTCTCTGTCATCTCAAATTTAACGTTAATTTTCATGCTAACATAATAAATATTGTGTAAAAAACACATAACATTAGGGGTATGAACAGTTTCACTTTTGAGAGTGTTCTTTGACATTTATGAGAATAAAATACCAAGAAAACTCAAAATTGAGGTTGCATTTACCAAACGCATTCCCAGCTTTGACACTTACGAACCAGCCAAAGTCCGCAATTCCTTCTCTCTTCCCCGCTCCGCTCACATGCCGCCGCCTCGGCTATCGGTACTCTCTCTCTCTCTCTCTCTCATGTATATTTAATTATCCATTAAATTTGTGGTTCATGTCTTACCTCCTGTTTGGTCGCCGGGAAACGGACGTAGAAAATAAAATTCTGGGAAAAATCGGTTATCGAAATGTTGTTTCCTGCTGCTCCCCAGGCGTGTTAAAGGGCGTGTCGCTTATTGATGATCTAGGCGAACAATGTATCAAATCGAGTCTATGCTAGGTTTTCTGGCGGCCGGAAGTAAGAAATGTAGTGTATTCAAATGATTGATGTTAGAATTTTGAAATAATTTTCTGGTCTCAGGTGTATGTGTGTGTGTGTGTTCAAGTTTTGATGTAAACAAGAAATGTCGATTTACTAATTCCGTCGTCGAATTGTAGGACTGGGTTTCGATTAGATAGTACCCTTTAATTGTTCATTTTTGAGGTAGTGAAATTACTTTAAAATATCCTCAGCCAGAGATTGATAGGGTTTTCGAAGATTCGACAAACTGTGTTGTATGCCAAAGATTGGGAATTTGGGAAGCAAAGGTCCCGATCTTATGAAAATTCTATGGTGCTCCGGGGTATAGAGTATTTGGTTGCTCATCCTGTTCCCATTTCTGTCGTTTGGTCTAAGAACTTATTCGAAGAGTTTGGAGATATTGTTGGATAATTCTTCAAAATCTAGTCTTTAGAACATTAATGAAGCATTAGATATTCATATAGGCTTCGGCTTTGGATGTGGAATTAGTAATTCAATATGTATTACGAAGAGTCTTACCGGTGGTTTGTTGGCATTTTCGTTATACATCAAGTATGGATCCATTGTAGTGCTTTCCTCCTAGTCATTTACCTATCGATTTCTTTGACTATGTCTGAGGGTTCCCCGTAAAACCTCTCCCTTCGTTTCGTGATTTGAGTTATTCCTGTATGTATGTTACTTATTCTTGATGGATGCCACTTCTGGTATGAACTAACTTGAGCTGTTTTACACAACAATTTTGCCTGAAAGTAGGATTTTCGGATTGCTTAATGCGTTAAAGTTTAGCACAATTGACTTTCTTGGTCTGATTCAATAAGAGATTTGATTTCTTTTTCCTATTACTAAAAAAGAGCGTTACTTTCTTCATCCTCGTTCATATTTTTCCCTTCCATTTTCTCAATGCAGTGACTCTCAATACCCGAATAGTGAAATGGCGAAATCACATGGCAGCAATGTTTCTCCTCCTGCGCAACAGAAAGGAAGCAAGAATGTTCAGAGTGGACATTCCCAGAATATGCTCACCTCAACCTTGACTAAAGGAAATACAACCTATGATGAGTTTAAATATGGATTCCCATCTGATGGCTTATCAACTGCATCCAATAAATGGTGGGGAAGCAATAGCCCCGATGGTAATGAAGGCCTCCGTGGGAAAGGAGCTAAGACAGAGGAAGACAAAAAACCTCAGTCTGACAAATTGGCAGATGACAATGCAAGTTCAATAATGGTGGACACAGAGAAACCTGAAAGTGGGAAAGACGAGAACATTAGTCCCCAAGGAACAGATTTGTTGGTGTCTGTGAGAAGAAGAGCTGTGGAAGAAAACCAAAAAGCACTTAAGCTTGGTGCTTTCCGGGGTTATGGCGCAAAGAAGCTAGGCAGAAGAGAGAGGAAACTGCTTCTCCGAATATTCAAATCTTCGACTCCAAAACAATGGATACATGACTCCTCTTAGATTCGAGGCGGATTGCTCTGGACGTTATAGATGATAATCCAAGTTAAGAGAATTCGAATTCCCATTCCTCTGTTCGAGGTGGATTACTCTGGACATTATAGATGATAATCCTAGTTAAGATTACCTAGTTTTTATTTTCGTTTTGTTTCTTTTTGGTTTTCTCAACAAGATTGTACTTGACAATTGACAGCTACATTGAATTCTGAATCTGGATTTTGACTGTACTAATATGATGACCTTGAGGCTTCGTTATGGTGTTCAGGATTGGATTGAATGAGATAACTCGCTGGATTAGTAATCACAGAAACTTCTCCCTAATAAACCCACCATGTTTTGGGGGATTGGAAGGGAGGAGATAATTTTCTTTCATGATTAATCCGTCTTTTACCTTCAACAGAACATTACCCTATCCATCCTAGACACCATACGAGGCCGGAATTACGTATGAGCTACCTGTATCAATTCAAAATCCTGCTTGCTTAGCTTATGTTCTGTTGATGGGGTTTAGACAGATAACTTTGTGCTCAAGAACCCAACAGAGATTTCTGCCTGATATCTAAGAGAGTACGTGGCGAAATTCTGTTGGTTACAGGTCAGCATATAAAATATCCAAAACTGTCGTACCCAAAAAATCTGAGAGGTTAATCTTCACCAATGAGTAAACAGATGAAGATGTCACATAAAACTATAAGTAGACCTACTAACTACTCTTTCCAACACAACAAGAAGCATTCAGAAACCCTACATTGTCAAATGGCTTCTTCTGCAATGGCTCTCACCTCCCCTTCCCTAGCTGGCCAAGCTGTCAAGCTTAGTCAATCGACTTCTACCCCTACTAGGCGAGGGCCGAATAACCATGCGCAAAACTGCAGCCAAGTCCAAAAATGTATCATCCGGCAGCCCATGGTACGGTCCAGACCCTGTCAAGTACTTGGGTCCTTTCTCTGGTGAGTCCCCATCTTACCTCACAGGAGAATTCCCTGGTGATTACGGTTGGGACACTGCCGGACTCTCTGCAGACCCTGAGACATTTGCTAAGAACCGTGAGCTTGAAGTCATCCATTCTAGATGGGCAATGCTCGGCGCTCTGGGCTGCATTTTCCCAGAACTCCTATCTCGCAACGGAGTCAAGTTCGGTGAGGCTGTTTGGTTCAAGGCGGGAGCCCAAATTTTCAGCGAAGGCGGGCTAGACTACCTGGGGAATCCAAGCTTGGTCCATGCTCAAAGCATTTTGGCAATTTGGGCCACACAAGTTATCTTGATGGGTGCAGTGGAGGGATACAGAATTGCCGGTGGACCTCTCGGTGAGGTGACAGACCCTTTGTACCCCGGCGGGAGCTTTGATCCATTAGGGCTTGCCGAAGATCCAGAGACTTTTGCTGAACTTAAGGTGAAGGAGCTCAAGAACGGAAGATTGGCCATGTTCTCCATGTTCGGATTTTTTGTGCAAGCCATTGTCACTGGAAAGGGACCAATTGAGAATTTGGCCAACCACTTGGCTGACCCCGTTAACAACAATGCTTGGTCGTATGCCACGAACTTTGTTCCCGGAAAGTGAAGTTGAGAACGTGAGAGAACTGGCTTTACAGATTGTGTCAGTAGGCAGCTCACAGCTGCTGTGAGTTGGGATTTGTATTTGTGTGGTTTTGTTCATGTAAATATTGGTTGTGAAAGCAATGGAATATTTCAACAAAACCCGACATCTTTCAAGCAGGAATCAATCTTCTGGCCAACTTTGGTCTCTAGAAACCTAGTTTCTTTTATATGAAAATATGACTTTAGCTCTTGAAACTTAATTTTCTTCACATAAAATCCGACATAATTTTTTTAATCGAATAAAACTCAATGATTAGATTCCACATAAGTAAATTCATTAATTAAGTTTGACTTTACGCATTTTAAAATTTTCAGATGTCTAAAATACTCATATTTAAATGTTTGATGTATACAATTAATTTCATGCGGATTGTAAGAAAGAATTAATAATTAAAAAAAAACCATTAATGTTTTAAATTCATTGCCTAATATATATTAACAATAAAACAAGCATAATATATATATATAGTGCTACTAGACCCATCTCATTGTCTTATCTCCCCACCCACATTATAATCCCACCCACCACAAAAAAGTTAAAAATTAGGAGAACTAATGAAAAGAGCTTGAAAATTTTAAGTTTTAACGATAATGACAAAATAAAGGGTAAAGTAAATAGTACTAGGATTGACTTTTTAGTGTAAAAATGCGGTTTTCGTTAAAATAAACAGTACCATGAGCTTTTCGTTAAAGTTTCCTTAAAAATTAAAATGTTATTTTCTCACCCACTATTTTTTCAAAAATAACCTCTAATATATATTTAAATTCTTTAGAAGAATAGATATTAGAGTGCTCATAAACCCAACTAAGCCTTCACTAACCGCTAAGGTCTTTCTTTCCGATTTTTATTCTGATCAAAATTCCAAAAATATGATTGAAATGAGGGATAAACAAACTCATTCTGAATTGAACTCATTTGGTTCGCCTCTGTTGCATCTTACTCCAGAACCTACACTGATCCCTGCCCACAACCACGCCCTCATTCTCCTCTTCTCTGTTAATCTCCCTTGTCTGCTCTTTGACCACCCCCATGTCAAAGAACACAAAATACATACACAGAAAACAAAAAAAGCAACAACCTCAAGAAGCTCACGAAGTCAAAACCCAAACAACCTAAATAGCTAAATCAAATCATTATAAATCACCCATGTATGCACATAGAAACCTAGTCTCCCCCACATGATGACACCTAAACCTACAACAAATACGCAGCCACACAATTCGTCCTTACGACAACAAACACCAAACGCAATTTCGTTTGTTTCAAACCCAAAATACCCACTCCTTGATCTCCATCTACACCACTAAAAAAAATCCCACACCATAATCAAATGCAATGTACCAAACCAAAAATTAAAATATGTTGAAAATTTTTAGATCGACTGGCCTGGGGGCCCTACTCTAACGACACCGATACTATCCCCAACTTTACCACATGCCCAATCCGTCAGGTGTGAGATTTTACTACAAAGTATTAGTTAGAGTAGGGTAATTCTATTTAAAGTCATCGCTTTTCTTTACCCCCACCGATGTGGGACTGCTAACACGCACCCTCACATGTAACTCCATTTAGTGGTTCACACGTAGAGATCTACACATCGACAATTGAAACTTAGAGGTCGGCTCCAATGGAGTCCAAACTTGTTTTCAATCTTTTTTCAGGAAATGACTCTTAAGATCTCATAGGTCGGCCCTATGTTAAGAGTTCAAGCTTGTTTCCAAGCCCACACTTCCTTGTGACAAGCCTTTAGCTTGCATGGACCCGTAACCGTGGACTCTGATATCATGTTGAAATTTTTTTAGATCGGTGGGCTGGGGGGGGCATTCTAACAACACCGATATTGTCCCCAACTTTACCACCTGCCCAATCCGTCAAGTGTGGGGTTTTACTACAAAAGGCATAGGTATTAGTTAGAGTGAGGTAATCCTATTTAAAGTCATTGCTTTTCTTTACCCCCACCGATGTGGGACTGCTAACATGCCCCCTCACGCGTAACCCCATTTTGTGGTTCACACGTAGAGATCTACACATCGGCAATTGAAACTTAGAGGTCGGCTCCAATGGAGTCTAAACTTGTTTTCAATCTTTTTTCAGGAAGTGACTATTAAGAACTCAAATGCCAACTCTATGTTAAGAGTCCAAGCTTGTTTCTAAGCCCACACTTCCTTGTGACAAGCCTTTGGCTTGCATGGGCCCGTAACAGTGGGCTCTGATACCATGTTGGATTTGGATCGACAAGCTCGTTGGGCCCCACTCTAACGACACCGATAATGTCCCTAACTTTACCACCTGCCCAATCCGTCAGGTGTGTGATTTTTATCACAAAATGTCTCGGTATTAATTAGAGTGAGGTAATCATATTTAAATCCCATTTTCTTTTTCAGGAAGTGACTCTTAAAAACTCAGAGGCCAACTCTCTGTTAAGAGTTATGGCTTGTTTCCTTCTTGGTGACAAGCTCGTTGGCTTGCACGAGCCTGAACCTTGACTCTGATACCATATTGAAATTTTTTTAGATTGATGGGCCCGGTGGACCCCACTTTAACAACATCAATACTGTCCCCAACTTTACCACCTACTCAATCCATCAGGTGTGTGGTTTTACTACAAAATGCCTAGGTATTAGTTAGAGTGGGGTAATCCTATTTATAGTGATTACTTTTCTTTACCCCCACTGATGTGGGATTGCTAACACGCCCCCTCACATATAACCTCATTTAATGGTTCACATGTGGAGATCCACACATCGGTAATTGAAAACTCAGAGATCGGCTCCAATGGAGTCCAAAATTGTTTTCAATCTTTTTTCAGGAACTGACTCTTAAGAACTCAGAGGCCGGCTCTATGTTAAGAGTCCAAGCTTGTTTCCAAGCCCACACTTCCTTACGATAAGCCTTTGGCTTGCACGGACCTGTAACCATAGGCTCTGATACCATGTTGAAAATTTTTAGATCAACGGGCCCAGAGGGCCCCACTCTAACAACACCAATACTGTCCTCAACTTTACCACCTGCCCAATCCATTAGGTGTGGAGTTTTCCCACAAAATGCCTCGATATTAGTTAAAGTAGGGTTTCTTTTCACCCACCGATGTAGGATTCCAACAACACACCCCTTCACGTGTAACCCCATTTAGTGGTTCACATGTGGAGATCCACACATCGGCAATTGAAACTCAGAGGTCGACTTTATGTTAAGAGTCTAGACTTGTTTCAATAGAACTTATAGGCTGTCTCTCTGTTAAGAGTCCTGGCTTTTTTCCTTCTTGGTGACAAGCTCGTTGACTTGCACGGGCCCGAACCTTGACTCTAATACCATGTTGGATTTTTGGATCAACAAGCCCATTAGGCCATACTCTAACGACACCGATACTCTCCCCAACTTTACCACCTGCCCAATTCGTCAGGTGTGAGTTTTATTACAAAAGATCTCGGTATTAGTTAGAGTGAGGTAATCATATTTAAACCCCATTGTTTTATTTTCACCCACCGATATGGGATTCCAACAAAACCTACCTCAAAGGTTTTGTTGATTGAATGTGAAAATTTGCAACTTTTTATTACAAAACAGTGACATTGATATAAGAGCCACTATGACTAATAATTAAAAATCGATTACCAAAATAAAATCAGAAATAATTCATAACAATACAAATTTGAAGTGAGAGAGGATGCAGAAATAAGACAGTGAGTAAAATTGATACTAAGTCATTATTTTTTTTCATTTGTCTTTATATGTCATTATACAAGAGGATAATTTTTATTAAACATGGGTGGGAAAATAAGACAGTGAAATGAATTTATCAGCACTCTATATATAATAATACAAGGGGTGGTTTTGGGTTAGGAAAACCCGAACCAAATGGTTCAGGAAGAGGATAAAAACCGAAACCAAACCAATTATTTCGGTTTATTGAAATTTGACCGAAATGGTTTCGGTTTTTCGGGTTGGCTGCTATTCGGTTTGGTGTCAAACCATTTACAAACTAAATGCCTTATGTCATTAATCAACCCAATTGAAGAACAAAAAAATCATAATCACCGTACTAAAATTCAACTTGAAATCAAGTTCAAATCCATTTCATTGACAGGTAACACTGGTCATTAAAGTAATTAGGCAAATCCATACAAATTTGTTCAAAGACACATGAATTCTAACAAGCATATCCTTATTGTATAAGAGATTCAATTAGACACATGAATTCTAACAAGCATATCCTCATTCTAACAACGATGGTCAACGGTAACTGATCAATGTGACTTTCTCTAAACAAAGGGTTCTTCCTAGGAATGGCTGATCAATGTCTCAGTCTGGAAGTATATTCCTCTATGATCCCACTTAGACCCATATAATTGATCCCCAGCAATCACATTAGGGAAACAAAAGGATCTGTGGTATTAAATGATGGATCCCCAGCAAAAAATTGATGGATCCTCAGCAATATATTGATGGATCCCACTTAAAATATTTTTTTTTAATTTTACGTTGAGGTTCAATTTCAGTTCAGTTCCCGATGTTCAAAACCGAAGCCAAACCATTTTTATGACTTCGGTTCGGTTAAACCATTTCAAAACCACGAAAATCAAACAGTTAGATGCAATCAGGTTTAGTTAAATTTCGGTTCAGTTCCAAGTGCCCATCCCTAAGGATATATGGTGAAGGCTGATAGGATTCAAATCAAAACTCTAATTTTAATTCAAAATTCCAAAATCGAAACCCCCTAATTACAATTTAAAATCCCTAAAACTGAAACCCTAATTCTATTTTAGAATCCCAAATCAAAACCCTTATTACATTTCAATCCCAAATTGAGACCCTAATTCTATTTAAGAATTCCCAAATCACAACCCTAATCTCCATTTCAGAATCCCAAATTGAAACCCTAATTAAATTTGACGAATTAGGGTGAAATTTTACTTTCTACACTGCAGGCGTCGAAGGTGAAGGAGAGTGAGAAGGCATCGTGTCGGAGTCGTCGGATGAGATAAATAGGGAAGGGGTCACATCGATGGTGTGGAAGATGTGCGGTATGGTGTGGGTGTGGTGTGGCCGGAGAAGGGCTCACACACCTTTCTAATTTTCGGCCGTCAGATCGGAAGAATTGAAGAAGATCAACGGCTAAATATTAACAAAAAGTGTGTGAGAAGTAAGTTGGGGTGTGTAGATAGCACACCCCGTGATATATTGTTATTTTGTGTTGATTTGTGAATAGTTTACGTTAGATTTGAAAATTTAACAGATGTATCAACAATCCACAAGAGTAAATTTATCCTCTCTTTCCAAGAATCTCAAGAGGTCAATACTCTCATCAAAGAGTATGTGACGAAATCATATTGGCTTGAGATCAACACCTAACAAGTGGAACATATGTCCAACCATCTGGAATTGAAGACGTCTCCCACCACGAAGAGCAATGAGCAATTCAATTGGCTAAAGCTCAAAGCATATAATATCCAAAATATTATAAATAGGCAAAAGTTGGAGAGATAATCTTTGCTAGGGACACGAGTGAAGTGGGTGCAAAAAATCACATTATTTAGTTTCGTAACTATAACACAAAAGGATTGCAGGTAAAAAGAGGAAGGGATGAATACTGATATTATTGCTTTCACTTCTTTTTGTTGTTGTTGTGTATTGTAATCGCACACGGAGTACTCTTTAAATAGAGTCACATCCGTGACAAACCAAAAAGTGAAATGATTGCCCTTTTGAAAACATCACACAACAACAATTACACTACTATCCTCAAGTCTTCCTCACTTAAAGCATGTGGACATTCATTATCACAATTTTACAACATAAAACAGTTTTTAACATTTTCTTTCTGTTTTTGGAAGTAAACTAGTGGAGCATATCAAACCCACAGGAAATCATCAAATCTCCAATTGAACAAAATCGATCGTGAAAATCCTTGGAACATCGTTTTCACCAATGAAAAAAGGAATGAAGATATCACGTAGATAAGCTCCCCATGCACCAAAATAGTATATATACCCACCTACGTCTCTGACCAAACAACAACAACATTGTGCAGACTAACTAAGAGTAATATACTCAGTAGTCATACACTATATTTCATCTTTTCTGAAATGGCTTCTTCAACAATAGCTCTCTCCTCTCCTTCTCTTGCTGGCCAAGCTGTGAAGCTTAATCCTTCTTCATCTAACCTTCTTGGTGAGGGTCAAGTCTAGGGATGACAATTCTAACCGTTAAATCCGATAATCGTGGACAACCGTCCGAATGGATTGGATTTGGATATGAAAATTCAGGTATGATATGGATATGGGGAAAAACCGTGAACTTTATTTGGTTATGGTTTTGGATATGGTTATAGGGGTCCCCAATCCATATCCATCCCTAAATCCGACCCGAATATATACTCTGTGTGTGTGTGTATATATATATATTTGATATATAATATAATTTTATTTAATTTATCAAACCCTCCCTATACTAATTCATTATGCATGCATCAAACCCTATACTATCTTTATTATGCACCAAACATCATGCATGGGGCATACCAACAACCTCATCAATTCAATACTCTTATTGTTATACTCAAACAAATTAATTCATTGAATCATTTTATATATCAATTATCAAATGTTCCAAGTTTATCAGATTCATCTCTCTTCAAGAGTCTCACTGTCAAGAAATTAATTCATTGAGTCAATTTGTTTTGTCTTCCTTTCGTATTTGCTTTTGTCCTCTTTTTTTTTATTGGACCAATTTATCATAAACAGCTTCAAATATATTGATATGTTTTTTGTAATTGGATGTTGCTATTTAATGATGGAATTAGTATCTACTAAAATTTATAGTGCATCAATTGGATGAATATAATTTTTTTTTTAATTTTTTTTACGAAGATGGATATAACCGATAACCGATTGAAAATCCGTTAACCGGTGGATATGGTTATGGATAATCTCCGATGGTTAATTTGCGGTTATGGATATGGTTAATTTTCGTGATTATAGGGATGAATATAGCATTTCCGTCTCCAAACTGAACCGTTGTCATCCCTAGTCAAGTCACCATGCGCAAAACCGCAACAAATCATGTATAGAAAGCAACAAATTAATTATTAAAACTGATACACTATTTTGGCTACATGATCTTCATGTGTCCTTTAGATATATCCTAAATGTGGGGAATGTGATATATTAAACTAGTACTAGTATAATAGAATATATAAAAAAGTAGTGAACAATATAGAATATATACAAACCTAGTGAACAATCAACATAAGTTATTCAGGGTGCGTTGACTACCTCGAACTGAACTGGTATTAGGTGTAAGACTATATTAGAGTTGCACACTTGTATTTAATATCTTATACAGATTCAGGATTGCAGAGATTGATTTCAATAATACTTGTACGCTAATAAAGAGTGTATTATTAGGATTTTATAGCTAAATGATACGATTAGTAAACCTAATTAGATATGAATACTAAGGTTTAGGTGATTAAGTCTTGTTCGAGTAGAATTACATGATGGGAAGATTCTTACTCGGACTCACTAGTAAAAAAAAATACTTTGTGCGACTTACATACATTTGTCGCGCAAAGTCAAAAATCGTTGCTCAAGGGTTTGCGTGACACACTCTTCGTCTCGCGCTAATCGTCGCGCCAAGGCAGTGACGGTAAGGTTTGCGTGATGCACGTGCAAAGTACTTTTGCGCGACACGCGTCATACATCGTGCAAAGTACTTTGCGCGATGCATTGCCTACGTCGTGCAAAGTAACTTTGCGCGACGCACGTGCTACGTCGTGCAAAGATAATTTGCGCGACGCACATCCTAAGGCTTGCGTCTTTCAAACCCTTTTTTTTTAATTAGTGAAAAATAATTTTTTTTAATTTTTGATCAATATTGTAATTAAATTCTAAAGAATAATTAATTAACCAAGCAAAAGTATTTAATTATAAAATATATGAAAATGTACATACAAGATGTCCGAACAAAAAAGAAAAAACTACAAGTGAACTAGGTTTAATAAATCAGGCTACTGGGTATCAACATTGCAAGGTGGCTCTGAGGTCGAAGGTGGAGCAAGATGAGGTGCTGGTAGCGAGATTTGGAGGCCGGACATCTATATGGCTTGTACAAGTTCTTGCACCCTCCCGACACAGGTCTTCATCTCCTCGCCCTGGGCCCTCAGCTGCATGCAAGAAAACAAGATAACTAAGGATCAGCAGCATGGAGACGATTAAAGAAACAAAAGGCAAGATATGATTATGAAACATAACTTTGCAAATAAAAAGAATGTAAAAAAACTATCCACACCTTTAAGGATTGCTAGAGCAAGGATCTCAAAGAGTAAAGATAGCGTTACAATGTACAAAATGAACACCTGCACAATCAAGGTAGACAGATTATTAACGGTGGAATCAACATAAATGACAAAAAGCAAAAATCAATGTTTGCATTCTGCACTGTATGATATATTAACAGTGGAATAAACATAAATGACAAAAAGCAAAAATCTATGTTTGTTGTAAAGGTGAATGGATGGCTGGCCAATAACCCATTCATTTTCTTTTACTATGCTGCTTGTGACTTGCTTCTATATAAGCAAGCCTTATGAAACACAACAAAGATAGATGTGAAGAGTTCACGGGAAAGAAAGAGAGGAAGGAAGGTAGAGGAAGAGAGAGAAGGAAGAGGAAGAGAGAGAATAGAGGAAGATGAGAGGAGATAATAGAGAGAGTTATCTTTGTACTCCTATTATTCTAAATTATAATGGAAGCACCACTGCTGCCCCGAGGACGTACTCCAGTCACACTGACTGTAGAGGAACCTCGTAAATTTTGTGTCTTGCTTATTTATTCCACTGCACACACAGTCGATTTTACAACACGTTATCAGCACGAGAAGCTCTCATGTCGGTGGAAAGCACTACTTACCTCTCACATCTATCGGCTGGAATCTCACAGATAAGAAAATCTTTTCATTTCATTCTCATATCTCTAAATGACTAATTTTCTTAAAGTAAATATACATGTGGTTATATAAGTATTGTCATTATTATTGGCAGAAAATCCGACAATCATATGAGCTTTGAAACTTCAACTTCCAGTGCTCATACAGAAACCATTCCTTCATAAAAGTTGTTCCTTATCCTCTCTCCCATAACATACCAAAAAAATTCCAGAACCATCCAAACGGTTAAATCATTCCATATCTTAGAAATAATACTACAGACTCAAAATCCGCAGAAAATTTGGCAGCCATGTAAATAGCCACTGAACTCCAACTTCCTGACATCCGATTGAAATACTTTCTTCTTGAAAGTTGTTTGTCCGCCTAGTACCTAGAACATATCCAAATTTCAGAAATTTTCAACGGTGCGATCGTCGTAGATGACTGAAACTTCAACTCAGCTTCCATTTCCGCAGAAAACTGGACAGCCATCTTATGAGTACCAAACCTTCATTTTCAGAAGCTCAGCTCGAAACTGTTTCTTCACGAAAGTTGTTTGGTATCTTCTTATCCATATCATACTAAATTTTGAGTTAAATCTAACGGTTTGATCTTCTTATAAGTGGCAGACAAAGAAAAGTGTGATTATTTTGGGTAGTTGGAAAGAAAGAAAAATATACATATATAAATTGAAAAAGGGAGCAAATGGATGGTGTGTCGGTTGGACTATTTAAAGAAAACAAAAAGGTTTTGGAAGTGAGTTGCACCATTCTGAAAAAAATAAAATAAAAAATAAATAAAAAAATTGGAAAGGTGGATTTTTGGTGCATGATGTTGTCACAAAAGGAGAAAAGAACAAATATTATTGGATGGTACACGGCACCATGTGAATGAATAAGAAACGAAAATATATATTTATTTATGTGAATGGTGTTGGCTTAAAACACTTTCACAAGCTCTATTTATTTAAAGCAATTTATTTACAGTGGGTAGCATTATTACCCTTTGCTTTAAAGCTTTGATATTTATGTGCATGGTGTTGGTTTAAAGCCCATGTCACAAGCTTTATTTACTTTAAAGCAATTTATTTACCATGGACGGTTTTTACCGCCTACTGCTTTAAGTTTTGATTTATGTGAATGGTGCTGAATTAAAGCCCTTGTCACAAGCTTTATTTACTTAAATGCAATTTATTTACTATGGTTGGAATTACCGCCTAGTGCTTTAATTTATTTATTGTACTTATCTTTTGTTACTATGAGTATATACAGGACCTGAAGTTCCTTGATCAGATCAGAACCTGCAGTTTCTTGATCCTCATCATATAAAATGATTGGACCCGAAGTTCCATCATACAAAAGGATCTGGCATGAAGTCCCTTGATCCTGAAGATCATGACATGAAGTTCCTAGATGAGACCGTAGTTTACCGTAAGTTTGAAGTGCCGCAGTGCCTTAACTTAATTGTAATAAAAGCCATAAGAGTCTTAGTTTACAGACTATTAAATAAGGACCAGAAGTTCCTTATGTCCATACTCAAAATGGTTTAGCAGAAGCCTTTATTAAGCGAATGAAATTGATTTCCCGCGCTCTGCTCATGAAAACGAAATTGCCAATTTTCTACATGAGGACATGTAAACTTTACATGATGCATTATTAATTCGGTTGAGACATGTTACCGACCATCAATACTTCTCAGTACAACTCGGGTTTGGAACCAACCAAACATTATACATTTACGAGTTTTTGGTTGTGTTGTCTATGTGCCTGTAAGACTGCCACAACGTACTGAAATGAGGCATCATTGCAGATTAGGCATTGATGTTGAACACCATCTATCATTCAATATTTGAAATTCTTGATTGGGGATATGTTTACCGCATGGTTTGCGGACTGTCATTTTGATAAGACAATTTTCCTCCTGCCATTAGGGGAGAAAATAATATCGTTCCAGAAGAACGATGAGAAAATATCATTCCAAAAGAATAATGAGAAAAGATCGTTCCAGAAGAACGAAGAGAATTTGTCTTATTTTGATTCACGAAGCAATCAATGAGAAAATGAAATATGAATAATTGAATGATGCAACGAAAGTGATGAAATCATATATACTTACTGCAAATGTGCCTACAAGAATTGATGTCTCTGTTGGATAAAATAATGAGACAGTAAATGATTTATCTGTTGCACGCCTGAAACGTGGCAAACCCTTAGACTCAAAAGGTTCAGTCATTCGAATAAAGAAGAATAATATGGCACTACTGAACTATTGCATTCCCGAAGCATAACTGTTGCATGCCAGAAGCATGATGACAGTCGCCGTATGGATACACGTCCCAGATATGACAATCCACAGACATGGGAATATTGATGTCTCATGCATGAAGCATGATTGACGTATAGGTTCTAAATGACTCAACTCTTGGAAGTGGAGATTAAAATCCAAGCTCTATAACGCTCAAGAAGAGGTTATGATCCGCATTCTCTAAACTATGACTATCCTGGAAGAGATAGTGTAATGCCCTTGAAGAGGCAATGGATATCCAAAGAAATGAAAAGCTTTTATGCATGCGCATGCACATGAGAATATGGGATCACGGATTGATGATAACCAATGGTAATTTTGGTTTTTACAAGTAGCTACTAAATTCATCAATAAGCTGTGTTAATATTAAGTCACGTTCTTTTGTTCGTCGACAAAAGAAAAATTATTGGCCAAAAATGGAGAAAGGCAATTCCATTACAAATTTTGTAAGAACGTGGGCAAATGAACCTATATATATTTGAATACAATACAAATAGCCAAATGATGTTAAACCAAGGAGGTTATATATGGGCATTTGTAATATAGTGTGTAATACACTTACATGATATGACACAAGGTTGTAAACGAGTTCATATGAATGGAGAATTATATACGAAGGGTTGTGAGTCGCCCACATTATATCTCCATAAGTAAATCCCTCAAGTATACATGGGAGCAAATTGCTCTGTATAAATTCCAAAGGAAAATGTGTCATGAAGTGTAGAAAACCCTTGAAGGATTCAAATTGCTTGAAGTAAGCCTCTGAAGGGTAAAACATAAAATATGTACTCAATACCAATGGATGATATAAATTGCCTTAGTGAGTACTATCATTATGATATTGTTGCAACATACTAAAATCTCTTGCAAGAGTCAATGACATTAAATTATAACTCTTGAAGAGTTGATGATATTAAATTGGGACTCCTGAAGAGTCTAGAAAAATTATAAAGTGTTGAAGGAATTATTGTCTCGAGCTGCAGATCGAACAATCTACCAACACGAATCTTATCCATGATATTTATGATATTAAAAGAATCATATGGATTGAAGATTATGAGTTGAATACTCATATGATGAAGACACTAAGAATAATCATTTATCGTCGTGAGGGTAAAGATAAATTAATATTTGGTCCAGAAGTACCACATCTTAGTGAAGTATATGCTTTATTGTATTTGACACAATACATTGAATGAAATAAAGCTTATTTATTAATATCTCCAAGAAATTACAGATATATACATACACATGAGTTAAAACAAACAAACAGGATGGAGCCTTCACAAAGGTTGCTCATGTGAAGCCTCAGTACTCGGAAGTACCCCAGAAGGGGGAGACACTGGAGATTGATCATGTGGCACCCCAGTACTTAGCAAAACACCAGAAGGGGAAGGCATCAGTTGCTTTCGGAATTTAGCAACGAACCTCTGGTGATCACTTTGAATCCGACTTTCGGATTCCTGCAGTTGGACGAGCTTTTCATGCTCGTAGAGTAACTATTTGCAAGCACATGTAACACCCTATTCTCGTGCTTGAGCCCTCTGATCTCTTGTTTAAGACTTGCCACCTCCGCCATTAATGATTCAACTTGGCGAGTTTGAGCAAGTAGGCGTTGGCCCATATTGGACACAGAGCCAGCACACTGAACACTGAGAGCCAATGAGTCTTGAATGGCCGACTCTTCAGACCGTTTTGAAAGGATCTTGTTATCCCTTGGAGTGAGAAGATTCCTAGCTACCACAGTAGCGGTTATGTTATTCTTCATCACAGAGTCCCCAACCGTAAGAGGACCATTAGAAGATAAGAAGGACGGGCGCCATATATTATCCTGACGCTGCTCGTCTGTATCACTCATAAGACTCAAATCTAAGCAAATGTTAGATGGGCAAGTCATTTTTCAGAAATGATGAAGGAAAAACAGAGGTCAAATAAAATTTCAGAAGTGCAAGAAGTGGAAATTTCTCAGGCAGCAACTTTCTGAGCATACTCTTGAACGCAATTGATGTCTCTATAAAAGAAGAGGCAACAGAGCCGCTTGTTCAAAGATCGAAGCGACACACGGCTCTCCGAATTTCAAAAAGCCAGATTTTCCTGAAAAGTTCGTTGGCATTTTTCAGACGTAATCCCAGCTTTTCAGATGTCGCGTGCAATTTTGTCAAAGATCTCTGACAAAGTTGAAAAACACGTAAATCTTACTGTTCTATTTACACCACAGTTGCTGACAAGAGTAAAAGCACAGCACCACCACTTGCTATTGAGAAATCTCTCTATATATGTCGACCTCTGTTCTCCATAACAAGGCAGACAGACAACACTGCAAGAATACCTAAACTCTTCCTCATCTCCGAGAATGCATCTTCAACATAGCATCTCGAAATACTCAATTCTTCCGAGAATACCTCTTCAACATGTCAAACCAGAGCAAGATTATCACATATCTTCAGGGACCAGAGCAAGATTATCTCATATCATGCAATCTCCCTGTTTCCTTTGTCCTTGTTCTTACCTGCAAAGACAATGATAAAGGCAAACAGTAACTCCACTCAAACTCCAGGTAAGGAACCTTTCCTGATTGCTTACCTAGTATTGCTCTCGAGTAGTCATCTTCAACGGTTGGAGCTGGGTCTTCAGTCACCAAGAAGTGATGAGCCATCCAAATGCAAGGGTTTGCATTCCACTTCTGCACCAGGGGACAAATCCTACAAGAGAGAAGATGCCACATATGCATGGGGAAAAACAGTGAAAATACTACTTAAGCAAAAGGAGCAAGTAAGGAAAGTGAAAAATGATGCATTGAAGCATGTGTGGAGACAAGTGCAATGAACATATGCTGATTCATCCCCAACTAAGCCGAAGATCACTTGTCACGTGCAACTCCTCATGGTCCAATTTCATTCAAGATCAAGCTTCGAAGGTCCTTAAAGAAATTACAAGTCCGATTATTCAAGATCAAGTGTCCACCACACTTGAATCAAATCTGCTTCAGATCAAAGGAGTAAATTCAGACATTTGGATGCAAGTCTAGCAGAAAGTCCTACAACCCAGTTCAAGAAAAAGCCTGTGGAAAGTTAACAACAAGTAAATCAACTCTTTCAGCAACTCTTCTTACTAAGAGACTAAAGCAGAACGATCAACGATCAACCTAAATGATTTGAAATCAGCAGGGAGATACTCATCAGGGGGAGCATTCAAAACAGATCAAGATTTTAACGAGAGTCAATAGAAGACTTGTGGCCATCCAAGGGGTGTTGTAAAGGTGAATGGATGGCTGGCCAATAACCCATTCATTTTCTTTTACTATGCTGCTTGTGACTTGCTTCTATAATAAGCAAGCCTTATGAAACACAACAAAGATAGATGTGAAGAGTTCACGGGAAAGAGAGGAAAGAGAAGGAAGAGGAAGAGAGAGAAGGAGAGGAGAGAGAGGAGAATAGAGGAGAGAATGAGAGAGGAGATAATAGAGAGAGTCTATCTACTCCTATTATTCTAAATTATATGGAAGCACCACTGCTGCCCTAGAAGGACGTACTCCAGTCACACTGACTGACTGTAGAGGAACCTCGTAAATTTTGTGTCTTGCTTATTTATTCCACTGCACACACAGTCGATTTTACAACAATGTTTGCATTCTGCATTGTATGATATATTTTCAAATGGTGGAAGTGAGACAACATTAGTAATTAACAACCACCCGCCGCATACAACTATGTATCTTTGCCGTAGTTAATTTTTCATTTCTTCGAAAAGGAAACTTAACCCTATACATCAGGTTTGTCTTTGAAGATCTAGAAACAGTAAGCAAGTTGTTTTGCCACTCATATGTGCACAATCTACAGATTATTTTTAGGAGAAATTAGGTTCACATCCTTCTTTTTGTTACTCCATTAATTAAAATCATATTCAATTTTTTATCAAGATTCTTGGATATTAATAACATCATTAATTATTTGAATAATAAAATATTTTTATTTTTAAATATATTCCCTTAGTGTTAAAATTTTTAAAATTAGTATATTTATATTTATGGCTAAATTTTTTATCATATATTTTTATTTTTATTTTTAGTTTTAGTTTGTACCTATTTTTAATTTGTACCAATTTTCTTTTCATTTTTAATTTGTACCCATATATTAGTTTCTTTTTGTGCCCATATTTTTTAAAGTTTTATTTGTGTTTGTACCCATGTGTATACCGTCACGTGACAATTGTATAATTAATCAATGAATTTAGAAAATTAACATTATTAAATAATTTTTTTTTATCCTATTTATATGTACCCTAATTTTTTTTTATGAATGTACTTTCTTTTATTTTGTATTAATTACCATTTGTTATATTATTGTTACCAAATTTTTTAACACCATGGATTACATTCTTTTGCCATTTATTATTTCTTATTTTTACATAGTTTTTATCCATTTATTCAATCAAAATGTTTGAATTTTTTTATTGTAACCGTTTCTAATAGTATCATAATGAGGGATTTTAAATTTATAGGATTATAAATCTCATAAAATATCAAACAATTAATGTCAAAACTATAAAAATATAAATATTAATTGTACAAAGTTAAGAGACTTTGATCAAACTTTGAATACCATTAAAGTTTTAGTCAAAGAATGTTAAGGATTAGGAACCGCATCAAAATTATCCCTTATTTTTAATTTTCGTTCTTTTAATACTCAAAAACAATTCAAAGAGCAAGAAAAGGGTTTCAAATGACAACCTACAAACAAACTAATATACAATTATTAACATCAATCTGTGCAAGAGAAAGGCCATTCTATTGCTAAGAAAACGAAAATAGAATGGACCTAGTTAGTAAGAAAAAGGCTGGTTCAGAGTAATTGATAGGTCCAGAAGCTTAGTGACCTCACCGAATCCAAACACCGGAAAGGAGAAACAGAGACAGAATAATCACTTCCTTGTGCCAGGAAGTGTTAAAACATTTATCAACATCTGCTCAAACTCTTGCCACAAGAGTTTACATTTGTTAGCATAAGTGGTGACTTGTAGGCAATGACAATCAATCCCAACTCTTGGTAGTAGTGTTACTATTGTTGTTACTATTACTGTTTTGAGAAACAAAACTATCTAACTTACAAAGTAAATAAAATATGATGTTTTAGTAAACCACGCCTAGCGATATTTCGTATCATGGTTAGCGTGGTTTCTTCCTAGCACACAAATCACACACCAACTTATACTTTGTCGTTAGCAAGTCTCCCCACATTCAAAAGGCCACATGGCGCAGTGATGAACCTAACTGTACACTTGACAAGTTGAAATAATGCAGAAAAATAAAAAGAACAGAGAAATAAACCTTCAGGGGCTTTAAGGGCACCTTTCTTTAAGGCATGCTCAAAAAAAAATAAAAAATCGAAGAATTCTAGGTCTAAAACAACCATGTTTACAGGAAACTTAATTTAACATGTTGTCCCCTGGTACTCAAGATATGTAATGATTGCAGTTAAATGGGAACCTACAACTTGACCACAATTATGCACGTAAAGAAATCACTCTCTTGAGATCCAATTCCCCAACCAATCAAATTATCAAATTTAGAAACGAACACAAACCAATAATATCCTTTAATTCAAACGTGTTTTCTGTGGAAATTATGCTGATTACCGTGAAATTATCCAATAATATCCTTTAATTCAAACGTGGTTTCTTCCCAGTACACAAATCACACACCAACTTATACTTTGTTGTTAGTTTAACTCACTCAATGCAGGTCTCCCCACGCTCAAAATGCCACAAGTTGAAATAATGCAGCAATTTGGTAATAGATAAATTTGTGACAAAAACCCATCGAAAATCAGAAACCCTTACCTTGATTTTGGGACTTGATTCGCGTCGGCTTCGAGATTCCCATGGCGGCCTGTCGTTTGGGTTCAAGGTCTGGGTTCAACGACCCAAGAGGAAAGACAGGATTTGAGGTCAACGGGGAAAGAAAGAGAGGGAGATTTGGGGTCTACGGGGAAAGAAAGAGGGAGGGTTCAATTATTTTGTCAAAACTTGGAAAATTGAAAAAAAAACCGCCTATTTTTCACTATTGGACCGCCAAATTTATCACAACTCGCGTGGCGTAGTTATACAATTTGACGTCGTGCAAAGTGGTTTTGCGCGACGTTCACATTAAGGGGTCTCGCAAAGTATTTTTTCAAAAAACAAAATTATTATAAAAATTACTGAAAAATGTGATTTTCCTCCTTTCAAATTAAATTTTTTTTAAATAAACCCCACAATAATATATTTTTCTAACAAAAACCCACAATAATTTTTTCTACATATATATCAATTAATTTCTTAAGTGTTATAAGTACAAAATATATAAATTAAAATCTACTTTGTAAATATATATACCATTGAACTTGATGAGAAACGCATTGTACGAAACTAGTTTCAATGATCTAACCGTCAAACTTGTCTGTATATGCTTCGAGATCGCATACGCCAAAAATTGCAAAAAGAAAACATTCAGAGATCAAGTAATGAGACAAAACATTTCAACGACTATAAACGAAAATTCACAATTTAACAGTTAATTTAACTCCGATTTTGATGATTTTTTACAGTTACACTCTTAACCCTATATGAATACAATGAACTAATTCGATCGTCAATTTAAAACATTGACACAAGTGGATACCACAAAATCTTATGTTATACTTAATGAAAAGTATAAATAAACTTTAAGTGTTAGTAAATCTAATGTTTTGATGGGATACGCATTGTACAAAACTAGTTTCAACGATCCAACTGTCAAACTTGTTTGTATATGCTTCGAGATTGTATACGCCAAAATCGTAAAAAACAAACATTCAGAGATCAAGTAACGGGACAAAACTTTTCAACAGTTATAAACGAAAAATCACGTTTAACGGTTATTTTAACTCTGATTTTGATGATTTTTTTTACAGCTACACTCTTTAACCCTATATGAATACAATGAACCAATTTGATCATCAATTTAAAACATTTACATAAGCGTATACCACAAAAGAAAAAGGCAATGCAAGAACCCCAAAAGAAAAGCAAAAGGGGAAAAGGAAAAAAAAAGACTTTGCGCGACGTAGGAACGTCGCGCAAGTCATACCTACGTCACGCAAAGCCTTTTTTTTTTTTTTTTTTGCCCCTTTGCTTATGAGTACAAAATAAATTTTTTTTGCCAGGCTATGGAGCTGCTGCCATCGGCCAAGATGTTAGAAAGAAAGGGGTGGAGGAATTATTTTTTTAGTTTTGATATTTAAAGGAGTAAAATCGGAATTAAAATCCTCATAAGAAACAATATTAGGGTGATTACTTAGAATAATTACGTTCAAATGACATCACCCAAGGACTATGAAGTTGAAACCAGAGTACATTAACTCCAACAAGAATAAGTTCTAACTGAAACCCTTGGGTGTACATGACCACCCAACGACAACCAATGCTCTTATTGAGTGAAAGAGAAAACAGAAAAAGACGACCAAGCAAAAGCAGAAACTCAAATGTACTAGTCGGCTCCATGTGTGCTAGTACCATAAATTTCAAAACAAGATTATCAAAACCCAGAAGAAAATTAAATCACTTGCACCCTAATCGTGCACACACTTGCACCCTAATCGTGCACACAACGTAATGAAAATTAAATCACTTGCACTCTAATCATGCACACAACTTAAGATACGAAAATAAATTAAATCACTTACCTATTCAATGGATACAAAACATTAAGAAAAAAAAAGGGCAGTAAAGTCCGAAACATTAAGAGAGAGAAAAAAAAACGGCGGTAAAGTAAAGGATTATTTGGACAGCTTTAAAACAGCATTGTTGCAATTGTCATAATTCATAAAGTCGATATTAGCATGTGGCTAAATGAGGAATAACAGACTTGATACCAGGACAAATAAAAGGAAACCGAATGCAATAACCAATTTAGGTAGACGTTTAGAAGCATCTGAAGGCAGACCACCTCGATCAGCCATCCAAGGAGGTGGCATTTTTCAGTTCGTTAAAGCAGAAATTTTTCAAATTAGAGGACTGCAGGATCTCGCCCTCTATCCAAGGAGTTGAACGCACTGAGACAGACGACACCCTTGCTATCTGAATGTAATCCTACACATTTCAAATACCATATAACTAGTAAATAATGCTCAACATTCAGTCATCATATAAAAGTTCTAAAAATAATCTATAACATCACAATAAAAAATAGTAAGGCCAAGTTAGTTGTTTCTGTATACAGTACAGAAACTAAAACCTCAATTTTGCCATAGATTGATTTTGAACAACAAAATGGTTAGCTTTTGATGATGCCACAACTTATGAAGTACAGTGGTAATCTAACATGGTGTTTGAGGTTCGGTTCCAATCAGTGGCGGAGCCAGGAATCTTACCACAAGGGGTCTTAGTGTAAGTCCAAATAAAAATTTAGGATGGAAAAACATATTGAAAATGAAATCATAGTACTTTCTTTCATAATTCATAATGTAAACAATATTACAAGCTATAATTGTCCATGACGAGGTTTCATATTTTGAAAACGAAGCATTATAGCTTCATTTTCAATACAAGCAAAAATATCTCTCTCAATATAAACAAGCAAGCTATCACTCAACCATTGATCTCCCATTTTGTTCCTAAGTGGACCCTTAACAATATTCATGACAGAAAATGCTCTCTCCACTGAAGCAGTTGCAACTGGTAAAACTAAAAACAATGTAATGAGCAAATATACATAATTGAATACTTGATGCATCCTTGTCTCCACCATTTTTTTTTGCAAGATCACCAATCCCTTCCAATTGAGAGAAATCACTACTGGAACGCACATAATAAATATAAATCTCAAGTTGATCTTCAAGTGTCAAACGATCCTCATCCGAAAAGTCTTGAGGATAAAATTGAGCAAGACGAAGTAACTTTGGTTTATCAAAAGCTACAAATGAATCTTTCGGACTCAAACATGTCAAACAAATAAGCAACTCAGTATTTACCTCATTAAAGCGATCCTCTAACTCTGTAATTTGCTCATCAATGACATAAATAAAGAGCTCCACACGATAATGATGACGATTTGTTCTTATTGGAGCATTACGCCTTGACCTCCCTGGAAGTATAAATGCCTCTTCCACGTTAGGAACATCAATATGATGTTTTTCACAAAAAGAAGATACTTCATCAACTAATGCATCGAACCCATTATTCCTCATCCAATGTAGCTTTTCCCTACATGATTTCACTAAAGCCATTGCATTCACAATTTCTTGATCTTTCCTTTGCAATGCTTGTGACAAATCATTTGTGAATCCCAATATGACTTTCATCAAGAAAAGGTGAAATATAAACTCAAAAGTACGTATTTCTCTCATTAACTTATTTGCATCACCCGCACTTTCATTGGGATTATCATCAATAACCATTTGAAGCACATGAACCACGGATGTAAACATGGAAATAATGCTAATCAAGGTACCATAGTGTGAGTTCCATCGTGTGTCACCGGCACGTTTGAGACTTGTTTCTTGATTTAAGCCTCGTCCCGTTATAAGACAATCATTTTCAAAAGCTATCACAAGCTCTTCTTGAAGTTATTGTCTAAGTAAATCACACCGCTTACAAGATGCTCTAAACATGATTAACCACACTATTAGCCGTTGCAAAAAAAAGAGGCAATGTCTATATTCTTCTTTGCTACGGAAACAATAGCTAGTTGAAGTTGAAGAGCAAAGCAATGAACATAATATGCACAAGGTTGTTCTCTCAATATCTTTGTTTTAAGACCATTCAACTCACCTCTCATATTGCTAGCACCATTATAACCTTATCCTCGTAGCTTGGAAATGCTCAAACCGTTGCAAGAAAAGAATGTGTCGATAGCATCCTTTAGTGAACTTGAAGTAGTCTCGGTAACATGTTGGATACTCACAAATCTTTCAATTACATGCCCGTTGTCATCCACATAACACAACACCATAGCCATTTGCTCTTTCACCGACACATCACGTGCTTCATCCACCAATATTGAAAAGAATCTATCTTTTAGACCATCCATGATAGCATCAAGTGTTTTCAAGGGCACATGAATTCACAATTTCTTTTTGAATGGAAGGAGCTAGTAATTTGAGATTCCTCGGAGCATTTTCCATCACAACTTCTCTAACTTTATCATCATTATCTGCAATGAATTGCAATAGCTCCAAGTAATTTCCCATATTGCTTAAAGTGGCACTTTTCATCATAGCCACGAAAAGCAAGACCTGTTGCAATAAAAACTTAGTGCACTTGATTGATGCATTCAAGCATGTGCGATAAGCCTTACGAGCTTGGTCAAAGTGTTTGCTCACTACCGTTTCAATATGTGTAGCTTGATTCATCAAATTTGTAGCAGCTTCTCTAGCATTATTATGAACACTCTAAACCGGTCTAACATGCATCTTAAATCTGTCTCTCCCTTTCTTCCAAGTCTTAAATCCATCTCTAGTAAAAGCTTCACTACCCACTTGTTCAAAATTGGTTTTAAAGAGATAGCAATAAAGACAAAATGCCGCATCTTTAGATATACTATACTCCAACCAATCAAACTCATCAAACCATTGGGGAATGAAGCGTCGATTAATTCCCGACATATTAGTTATTGGGAAATTATGACCTCTAGGTTGACAAGGTCCTTTTTGTATATATGATCTTCGGACCTCATCTCTCATATTAGCATCATAATCTATCATTTGAATTCTTAATCCAGGATCCGCTTGAAGATTACCCAAAACACCATCTAACTGACTTTGTCTTGAACTTGGAGTTCTTGAACTACCAACAGTATTTGAACTATCAACATTATTCGAACTACCCGAACCCGATGATGACTTTCTCTTAAAAAACCGTTCCATAATAATTCTACATATACAAAATATTCAAAATAAATACTCACAATATAAACAAACCATCAACATAATCAAAATAAATATGAATTGGATTTCAATTAAATTAAATATATTCTACATATACAAAATAATGAAAATAAAAACTCACAATAT